GCACTGACTTTTTCATAGTCATATAAAAACTGCTTGACTGCTAGTCAAAATTGACTTGTTCACAATATTTGTAATAACCAACTCATTTTTTTTTMATTACAATTTTTGGCTATAATTAATAATTATAGTATACTGTACACTGTATATAATAATGTTGAATGGATATTCATTTGATAACTATACCATCGATGAGCCCATAGAATATGAAGTGGGTGATCATTTGGTCTTGACAGCCTTGTGTTGCACTGTAGGTTTCAAAAATATAGTATGTTCTTAGTTATTTCATTTTACTCAAGTGCTTAACTCGTAAAAAATTTAAGATATAAAAAACTGTTATCTGTCTTACATACTCTGATCTAACAGGGGCAGATCCAGGATTTTTTTCTAAGGTGGGGTGCACCCTTTGATTACGAACTCAAACACTAAAAACRCGGTAAATATCAGCTTATCTTTGGGGGGTGCGCTCCCYCTGCACCCCTCTCCTAGATCTGCCCCTATCTAAACATGTCACATTTGAATATCGTTCACAAGAAAAGCCTAGCAAACCCTTAATAGTTAGTGGTTTCCAGCTTCTCAAGCATTTTAGCAGCATTCCAATATTATTGTTTAGATTAGAATGTCTAAAACAGAAAATTGTTTTATATCTCTTTYATAAAATTGAATACAAGTGCACAAATCAATGAATACTGCTTTGTTTTCCCTATAAAAGTTCAAATTTAGAGCATGTGTGGCATGAAAAATAATATTAATTGAGGGTTTAGTAGGTATTACAATGTACTTTGATCTAAAATTTGACCAGCATTTTGACCAATCAGATTCAATCAGAGTGTGCAGCATTAAAAATCTGTTATTTAAAAAAAGTATATTCAGTTCAACTTACAGTGATCTGAGGAATTGGGAAATAGAGGACTCTGCATTTTGGTTTGATTTGATCTGAAATTCCTTTTGGTCTGTGATCAGGAATAAGTTTGAGGAATGAATCCACAGAAGTTAGGAATGAATTCATGTTGAATTCAGAATTGAATACAACAACATCTGCAACTAAACTGAAGCAGGTAATAATAAGATACTTTAGTAGGTTAAATGGATGGATGGATGGATGGATGGATTGATGGATGGATTGATGGATGGAAGGTTTGATGGATGGATGGATGGATGGATGGATGGATGGATGGATGGATGGATGGACGGATGGATGGACAGATGGATGGATAGATGGATGGATTGATGGATGGATGGAAGGTTTGATGGATGGATGGAAAGTTGGATGGATGGATGGATAGATGGGATGGGAAGGGTGGGTGGATAAGTGGATGCATAAATGGATGGTAGTTTGGGGAAAAAGGCAATCACTGACAATATRAAAACTTGTTACAGCTAGTCACCCCAGCAATACTTGTTTTGATGCAGGTCAACAGAGTCGAACTGAAAGCAATGGGAAGGTGCCTCTGGCAGCCACTACACACTCCATGTATGACCCTGGAGCAGAGCTCCAATCAGTTTGAATTAGTTACYGACAGTTTGAAAAAAGGAAGAAAAAACTGGAGCCAGAAAAGCTCTCAGGGTTGAAACACAACCAACTCAGCTCACATGGGACACCTGGGTATTGAACCCTGCAGGACAGGACCTAGAGGTGAGATAAGGTGAGCTCACGATCTTTACATCCTTGCTATCCTGACTCCCCAATGAGTGAATTGCATGTAAATCTTGTATTATCTTATTGTCTTACCAGGAAATAATTTGGTTATATCCATATTGGAAGTCCCTCTCTTGCTGCTTTCTCACAGGATAGACTAACTGATTTTCATGGAAATACAGCACTTTTTTGAGATCAGTAAGGTCTGGTCTTAAGGCTATTAATTCCGCCAAGTTCAAAACAGAACTGGAAAATAAAATGCTGCAATAAAATAGTAAATTACATCCTTAAATAATGATAATTAACAACACTGTGTGCAACACTGTTTTCTTGCATATCTTGTGGTAAGTTAGTTTGTAGCCTACCGATACTGATGCACTTCAGATATACATTGGGCAAAGTACAAGGCACTCGTCCTTACTCTCCAATGCCATTTCTTTGCTGGCAGACAGAATTTGACACAGCCAGGTATTTTCTGGACCAGCAGATCAACCAGCTGCTTGTGAGATCCACCATAGAATGGTTCGATTAGTAACACATGCCCTTCATCTGATTGTGTGCTCCTTTGCACATCATCAGAGTCTTCTATGGTTTTATCATTCCTTGAAGTTATCAAAATAAAATTTTGTTGAACAGTCTATGTCAGTCACAAGGGGTTATTTGAAGGGGCAAAACAAACCTCTCCTCATCTCTTCCTTGCTGTTTTTAACATTACTTAAATCAACCATAAAAGTGAAGAATATAAACCTCCTACCGGTTTCCGTAAAGCTCTGCAGTAACACCTGAGTATCTGCAGGCTCTGCTTGGGGAGAGGAGGAGAACATAGGGAAGAGGAGAGCCTTCCCCTCCTCGCTCCCCTCTCCCTAGGCTCCGCTTCCTTCCCAGTCACCTTGAAGGCCTGATACTCAGGCTAGCCCTGATGTCACTT